CTTCTGGGTTGCATCCCAGTGTCTGGAGGAGCCAGACTTTCCACAGGTCCTTCAGATCAGACCTCTGCACCAAGGCTGCAGCAGCACTCGCCACGGATGAGCACAAGGGAGGCCTTGCCTCCTTCGGGCCTCAGCCCCAGGAGAGACTGAGACAATCAACGGTGGTAGGAGATGGGCCCCCAGGGACAGGGTCTGGGCCGTACGACTACAGGGGTCAGTGGTGTGAGCCATCACTGGAGAAGTGTGACAAGCAGCCAAGACCGGGGGCAGGTGGGACTGGCAGATGTGGGGAGGCCTATAAACTGGGTCTGGAATGATGGGGGGAAAAGAATATACCATCTGAACTAAAAGAGTAATTTAATTTTTAGGACTATTCCACAGATACACTCAGGAAACTTCAACTAGACAATTTTTACCCATTCAATCTGTTCAGGTGGTGACCTCACCCGATCTTCATATAATAAACAAGCTCAGATCTGTGAGGTTTAAGTGTTGCGTCATGCCGAGGTGTGTGTGGGCAGCTCCCTACAGAGAACAGGCTCAGCAGAGTGCCTGCCAGGACCTGGAGACACAGAGGTGCAGACAACACACTGGCCTTGCCCACATGCAGCGTGTGTTCTGCAGGAACAACAGGCATCAAACAAGTAATTCTAAGTAGATGACGGAGAAGCACAGAGTGCTACACAAGTTCATACCCTACTCAAAAGACTATGGTACAAAGTATGTGGTCACATTAATATCAACTATCAAGGTCACATCTATAAATTGATATATTCAGGAAAACATACAAGCTAGGAGGCACCCATATTTCTGGTACTATATATATATATATGCACACACACATATATGTATATATATGTATACGTGTATATATATTACACACACTCACACACAATGGTCCTTTTCTAAACCCAAAGCATGTTCTGAGAAATATTTTTTTCCAATATGTTAACTGATTTACATGAAAAAAATATTACTCAGGTTTTAAGTTAAGTGAAATTAATTACATATTAATTTAATCATCTTCAGTTTAAAAGAACAAAAATATATAAATTCTCGTATTACTCAGGAAAATTCAAGATCCCTGATCATTTTAACTATAAGATAGTTCTTTCACGGAGATAATTCTCTGACAGATGGATAAACTTCAGACTGGAATAAGGTTTCTTTTTTTTCTTTTTTTTTTTTTTTACTTTTAAAACTTTATTTCACCTATTTTGTCCATTTTTAAATTAGTTCTCTTAGCACACATTAATTTTACATTAATAAACATTAAAATCTATTTAATTTCATAAACATAGCTTCCAATTTAACTTAGTTCTATATAGATTTTTTTCAGACTGGTATAAGGTTTCTAAGAAGCAGCTTCCTGGCTTGTTGGAGGAGAGAGTCTGACATGGTCATGAGGATCCCAGACTGTGGCATCAGACAAACCTGGTCTGGATTCCAGGTCTGTCACTTTCTACATATTACTGGGTAGGTGTGATTTCTTCGTATATAAAATGTGATAAAGATGGTTCAAACCCCAAAGGGTTGTTACGAAGATTAATAAGAAAATGCATGTAACGTACTTGGCACAGCACTGACCCATAGTAAACACCTAATGTGTGGGAGTTACTATTATTATTATACCTCTAAATAGTTTGCATATTGAAAGTAACAGAAAAAGTAGTAAGTGGATGGTATGGGAATGAGGGTCTTGAAATCGTGAGGGAGCATGGCCTCAGAGAGCCAGTTGTTAACAGGAAGACCAGAAGAGCAGAAAGAACTAGAAAACAGGCACCGCCCTCTCTCCCCCACCCCACCCCATGCAGAGTCCTCATTGGAAAGGAGGACAAAGGGAAACTGACAGGAGCTGAGTAATTAGATGCTTAATTTGTGTTTAAGAGGAGAGAGAACTTCACAGTGGGCAGTTAAGACAATAACCCACTTCCGGTCCCTCCCCCCCCCTTCCGCCTGAACAACACCTAGAACGTGGCAATGGACAGAAAGACAGAAGGGACAGTTCAGACCAGCACGTGTTTCCACTCCCGTCCTTATCCTCTATCAACAGGTATATGTGAGCCTCATGTCAAGCAAACCTCAGTTTACAAGTCACATGACAAAAGCCACAAGTTGGACACAGACCCAGAAAGTCTCTAAACTAGTGGTTTTCAAGTTTTTAAGCCACATACCATTTTCTTAAAAGAATGAACAAAAAATAAATAAAAACATAGAGCAGAGATGGGGTCCCAGAGCCCAGGCAGCTCGAGTCTACAGCTGCCCCTCTGCCCGCCCCCACGTCCCACTGCGTCTTCTGAAACACAGTCTGAAAGCCACTGATACTGCCATCCCCCTTGATTTGAGAGACATGTTAACTTAAGGTAAGAAAGGTGAGGGAACTTCCACAGAGGTGCAAATAGACGGGGACAAAGCTAGAAATACAATCCAACCAGTTTTCTGATGGTCAGTCCGGTTTGACCGACATACCAGAAAGATGAGGAAGAAAGTACACTGTGTTTGAATGTGCCTCATCATAGGCAAAAAAAAANTAGAGAAATGAGGAATCTAGCTGCAAAAAATGTTAACATCAAAAGAAAGGTGTCACTACAGATGCCAAACTTTACCTTTAATCATTTTTCATATCAATCTTTATAAAAAATGTAGCATATATTTACCTGACTTCTTGAAAAGGCAACACTGGGGTTTGGAAAGCATAACCTTTTTGTTCCATGACTTGGGAATCTCATCCTTGGAACGTCCTTTATTTGACCGCCTGTTTTTCAGATGTTTTGCTACTTCTGCCTATGTCCAGCTGCCACTTCTGTTGTGATTGCAGCTGCTTCTAAAAATAAGCCAGTTCCGTCCCTTCCTACCCTGTGGTTTCTATCCGGGCTGGGAACACAGACAAGCTGTGGTATGAAGGGCTAGATGCTTAATAAGAGTGATAAGGGTCTTAATGAGAAACTCAGAAGTAAAGCGCATGGCTTTAGACCAGAGTCTTTTGATAGCTAATTCACAGGCCTGGGGATGTTTTCCTCTTTCTGTATTCTACAGGCTGCATGGCAGAGAGGCAGGATTCTCTATACTGATGCCCAGACAAACACACAGGCTGTTCGCAGAACGGATTCTACGCCTTGCAGTGAATGAAGCCAGAATTCAACTTGTCTCTGAAGATTTGCAAGCTGGAATTTGGGGGCAGGGTGAGAATATTGCTTTTGCTTTAGGCTCCGCTGTTGGAGATTTTAATTAGCTCATCGAGCAACCTACAGTTCCCTAAATATATTAGGCTGATTCATGCTTTCCACTAGAAACCAGGTCTTCATCCTATCGTAGCACTGTCCTGAGATCTTCCCAACCAAAAAATAAATTATTTAAGCCTTACTTTTTATGATTGGCATACAGAATGTACCCAGGGAATGTCTGATGAATAAAATAAACTCGTGAATTAATGAATACATCTGGGACTGAGTAGGATTGTTTTTAAAAGGTAAACATGGTTAGTCACAGATACACTGTCATAGTTGAATTATATTTGTCATATCATTGCTCTAATACGAGTTGATCCGCATCTTCTTTTAAAAGTCAGTCAATGCATTTCACCAAAAAAGATACAGATGGCAAACGTGCATACAAAAAGATACCCAAGATCATTATTCATTAGAGAACTGCAAATCAAAAGCACCATCAGATACTGCTCCACACCTATTAGAACAACTACAATTAAAGAAAACAATTGGCATTACTAAATTCTGGCAGATGCAAAGTAACAAAAACTCTCACACATCGTTGACGGGAATGCAAAATAATACAACCACTTTGATAAACGGTTTGGTAGTTATTAAAAGTTAAACACAGAGCAGCAAATCAGTGCAAACAAAACCCTGATATGTTTAGACAGACGGTAATGCTCAAGCATCAGTTTCTAATCCAGAATACAGAAGCTCTCATACACACACACACACACACACACACACACACACACACACACACACACGAAGCCTATATGGTATGGACTTTGGTAGGAAGCCAATAAGAGTGGCCTTATCTTCAAAATTATGAGCTGTAAGAAAATTGCAACGGAATTGCTCTTCAGTAACT